CAAAAATTTTGTATGACCAAGATTATTAATGGTCGCCAAATTTGCATTGGTCAATTTATTAAAAGTTTACCAAGATTAGTTAATTAGGGGTTTAGAATAATTGTCAAATTCTATACCTTTTACGTTAATATATTTTCCCTTTGTTTCTATCACTTTGCCGCCACCTTGTAGAGGATTAATGCAATTAACTAATGCATGGACAAGTGGGAATACAAATTAAACCATTTCTCTCATTTTTTTATATACACACATATGCAATATACATATATAAATGCAGCAGGACGGCAGATTAGAGAAGAATTCAAGTAAGATTTAACTAATGCATGCATGGGGTGTTAATTGTTGAACAAGTAGGAGGTGTCAAGCTATCTTTGTAGTAACATGCATGCATGAGGTGGTTTAAGCAGGTAGGAGGTGTTAAATTATGGCACAACCTGACCTTAGGTGTTGAGTTAAGTATATGAAATACATGCATGCAACCACGTGTAGATGTAGGCAACAATTTTGGTTAATTATCTTCACTTTGCTTCTATATATGTATAACCGAGAGATGAGCAGCCTATATATCTTTGCAAAATCAGAATTTTTATGGAGAGATAGAGAGAAAATCGGCAGGAAGAAAGGAAGAAAAAAAAGAAAAGGAAAGGAAGAAAAAGGAAAACAAAGCCTACACTCTCAAGTTCTTGTTTTTCAACCGAAGTTTCTCCAAGTTTTATTGTAAGATACTTTCTTTGCTTAAGTGGTAGGATTTCATGGTAATATTTATGCCTAAGCTATGCATGAAAAACCATAATATGAATGTGTTGACAAGTCCACAAAGTTAGATATCTATGCCTTAGGACAAGTCCGAAGGGCACGGGCAAGCCGGAATGTGCAAGTATGTATTTGATTGCATTCTTTTGTGTAATATTAACATGTTAAATCCAAGCATGGTATCTTACTTAGTATTCTTTATACTCATAGTATCCTATACTAAATTTTCAGATCCATAGATGTGAAGTTGGTGGAAGTCAGTCGGCATAATCGATGATGGATTAAGGACGAAGGTTATTTTGCATCGAAGTTTTGTTTTTGCATGTTTGTTCGACTGATCTCCAAATGTTTTTCTTATGGTGTTGTATAAAAACTTGTATAAGACATGATCTACAATGGTACCGGAAGTAAATTATGTAATTATATCTTCCATGTTATGTTAAGAGACATTTTTATAAACCTTTTTCTTGAATGATAAAAAAGGGCAGAATCCGGGCAGTTTCTGGGTCATTTTCAAAAAATTATTTCTAACTCTATAGACATCCATTTGATAATCTAAAAATACTGCTGCGTTCATCTTTGAGTTTTCTAAATATGGGCACAAGAATCACTCAATTTGGATGTCCGTGGCCTGAGATATGAATTTTTAAACATTGAAGAGTCAATCTGGATTTTCTGTGCAACACTACAATGTTTTCAGTAAAACGTCCATACTATATGATCTCGTAAAATTCTCATATTTTAACCTAGGAAACTACTTGAAATTATCTTTCTAATGCCACAAATTTCATAGAAAACGGATTTGGGATGAATTTTATAAAAATAGTTGAACTTGCTGCCCTAACTGACTGTGGCAGTACCGAGTCCTTTTTTTTGTAAAGTTTAATTCCACGACGACATGCACTTCTGCTGGCCATTAAATTTCATGAGAGATATTTTACCAAATTGAAAATAGTTTTCTAACATGTAATACTTCTATTTAAGAGTATTTACATGTACCAAAGGTAGAAGTTACTATGTTTAGTACGTGACCCTGGAAGCCTAAGTTCGGGGCGTCACAGCGCATATATCCTTTCCCTGCATACATCTCATTCTTAGACAACACAAATTTATCGGATACAAATACAAGTTTAAAATCATTCTTGCTAAGTAGAGACCCAGACACAAAATTCTTTCTTATATCCGGTACATGTAGGACATTCTTGAAGACGAGTTCTTTCCCGAATGTCATCTTCAAAGTGATTTTGCCTTATCCTTCAACTTTAGAATTTGCAGAATTTTTCATGTATAGTTGTTCCCCATTCAATTCTTGATAGTTGGAGAACATCCCCTTGTCTGCACACACATGGTGGGTAGCGCCGGTGTCAATCCACCATTCTTTAGTATTTCTAATCATGTTGCATTCGGACATTATTGCAGATAAACTCATTTCTTGTAGTCCATCAAATAGAGTGTTATTTGTAACCATGTGGGCTTGAGCATTCTTCTTTGGCTTTCGACATTCACTTGAACGATGTCTAGCCTTGCCACAGTTGTAACAATTCCCTTTGAACTTCTTAGCCTTCTTGGAATTGTCTCTTGGTGGTGCATAATTAGGAGCCTTTCATTTCTTGTTTGTTGCCTTTGGTTCCATTTCAACAAAATTTGCACCATCTTGATCAACCAGCTTTCGTTCGATTTTCTGATTGTCCTCTTCAATCCTCAAGCGCACAATCAATTCTTCCAAATTCATCTCCTTGTATTTGTGCTTGAGGTAATTTTTGAAATCTCTCCACATAGGAGGGAGTTTCTCAATAATGATAGCCACTTCTCAATTCCATTTTCTCGGCGTGGGTGTCGTGTAACAAGACTTGAATCTTTTGTGTTTGGCTAATTACGATTTTGGAATCCACCATCTTGTAGTCCAAAAATTTGCCAACAATGAACTTTTTTGCTCCGGCATCCTTGGTCTTGTACTTTGTCTCCAAAGAATCCCGTAGTTCCTTAGCTGATTCCTTTGAACTATACATCCCATATAGTGTATTATGCAATGCGTTTAGTATATAATTCTTGTATAGGAAGTCCGAGTGTTTCCATGCATCCAAAACAATAATCGATTCACGATTATTTTTCCCTTTTTGTACAGTCGGTGCAGTTTCCTTTAGAAATTTAGCCAAATTAAGAGTTGTGAGATAAAACAATATCTTTTGTTGCCACATCTTGGAGTCTACTCCTGCAAATTTTTCCGGCTTTTCTCCATGTGGGATAGTAGTATTATGTAACGGTATGGCCAGGGGTGGTACCACATTATTGGAACCATTTTGACTTGACGAAGTCCCGATGGTAGTCATTTCTATTACACAAACAGAAATTTAACAAAATGATGATAATATCGGTGGAGGAATAGTACACAAATCACTATTCAAACAAAGTAATGTTTGTCCACAAGCAACCACAAAAACACGAAATTTGTCTTAAAATTATTGGAGACGACTTATAAAAAGGGCTATGTAAGGGTTGATTTTTGATATATTTGTTTGACCAGTTTTAACCCGCAAGAGCATGATCAAAACACAATTTATATGAATGAAAATTTGGATAGAGTTTCGGTATAAAGATTACGCAAAACAAGGATTAAGAAGGAGTAGAAATAGAAAATAATGCAAGGCGAAACGTTATCTCTTTCCTTAAGACAAATTGTCCCGCTACGGTACTCACGATGAATGGCACTTGTCTCCCAAGATAAAATGGATTCACAACTTGTGGTAGCAGCACTTCAAACCACAAGAAACTGACGAACTTTTGACAGAATTTCCCCTCTACAAAGGAAATGTATGAAATGTTATGGAATTAGAAAGGAGAGAATTGCAAGAGGAGAATGAATGCTCAATGCAATTGGTGTACCCAAAACCATGTCCATAGGGTTCTATTTATAGATGTAGAAAGAGTGCAAATGAAATAGTGTGGGCCAAAACATGCATCCTTTTAAAAAAGTTGCAACACTTGGCCAAAACCTGTATCCTTTCGAAAAGTTGCAACACTTCATTTCTTCTAACTTTGGTCCGCAATTTTTCATTCATCCGAAATTGGTTTCGAGATTCCAAATATACCACGACGATTTACTCGACGAGTAGAATAAGTTGGTCTATTTACTTTGGTAATCTGACCATCGAATCAAGTCCGAATATTTGGTCGAAGTTGACACGTAGTCACACCTTTTCATTTTCCAATTTTTGGTTAATAATTTGAACCAATTCCTACATAGTTTTCTGTGAGACAGTGAAGTATGGTGCAAACCTTGGTCCTAATGTATACGACATCATATTCTATTCCTTACCTCCCAGCACTCTGAAAAACAAAAAATGATAGTCCTTTTACAATTGGGAAAATATTCAAATTCTTGAACATACCACAAAACTTTTGAACAATGTAACATCGACGGGTATTGTCTTACTAGTGTTATGAATCTATATGCATATGTAAGTTAATATTTCTCCATTACTTAAAATAAAGCTTATGAGTATGCAATTTTATCTCAATTACTTTTCCGACACTTGATGAAACGACCAGTGATGCTCTACAAGTACTTGTTAATGTGGGTGTTCCATGCTGCAAGTAACAAATTAACATCATATCTTAATCTTTTATGTTGTTTGCTCACTACTACTTCATTTCAATCACTTCTGAAAAAGTCCCACATTGCAGGTTCTTGTATTTTCAACAACCCTTAGAATATGCTATGTACTTCTTTCACCAATTTTAGAAATTATACGTAAATAGACTATATTATATAACTTGTGGAACAACTTTTCTCACCCTTTACCTCAGAAAGCAGCTCCCATCTAGCATCTTGCAAGAAATATAACGACAGCATTGCCTCCGGCTATCTACAAACAACCTGTACCACGCTACCAATTAATAGACTGCTGTTAAGAACATTTTTGCTGAGCATAATCACCATTGACAATACCACCATCAATGTTTAGATGCTGGGATTTTTTCTTCTTTGCATCTTCGGTAGCTCATTTCCCGTAAAGATGATTGCTTCTGTTACCTTCATGCTTTTTGTCATCCTATATTACACCTTTTACAATTTTCGGATGTTAAGTTTCATTTGTTATTTAATAACAATTACATTCTTTCGTAATTGTTTTTACTTTCATAATATTTGATAATAAAGTAGATTATAAATATTTATTAACTTGTGTGAAGCAAGCACATGAACAAATGCTATATTATAAATCGAAGATTAAGAAAAACTTGCAAAAGAAACAAGGAGTACGAATCTATTCTTCAAGCACGGTAACGTTACCTTCAAAATCACAGAACCCGTGCATTGCAAGGCACAAGACTAGTAATGTTTAGATAAGAGAAAAAACATTATTAAAGAAAAATACATATAAAATTTCTGAGAAAAAAATAATAAAAGGGAAATCTACAATACTGTTGAATTATAGAAAGAGATGAGGTGTGACTAAATATTCAACACTTGATTTACTGATACGGGCTTCCTCGAAGATCTGATACAAGGCTTCCTTACTTGCATCATCAGATTCTTCGAAACAAATCTCGAGAATGTAACGGACAGTCTTAGGACTTGGAAGACACGTTTCCCAACCTTTACCCCTAGCTGAAAAGAATTTCCGTAAGCAAGACAGAGCCTTAGAAATCCTCCTCTCTTGGATGTGGAGCAGGGCAAGATTCTCCCACATAAATGGATTCGGTTTTATTCCCACTTCAATCATTTGGTTGAAGAACGTCTCAGCTTCTTTAAAAAGCCCTTTTCTAACATAACAATGCAATAGATAATTTCTTTTGTAATTACCGGGCTCATCAATAACATCTCCATAATCAGAATCAGAATCAGAATCAGAATTAGAATTAGAATTAGAATCAGAATCAGAATCATCATTACCAAGCTCTTCAATAATATCTTCAGAATCAGAACCATCAGGTTGGGAAAGCCATTCCTCGTAAATCTTTTCAGCATCTTCAATATCATCCATTTCAAACAAACAAAAAATTACTGACGAGTAGCAATCATACGAGTATTTTGGAAAGACAGACTTGTAATTTTCCCAAACTCGGTAAAGCTCCTGTTTGTTGTGAAGTTGATCGCAGAGACCAACAAGATATCTGAATTTGTGATGCTCGTCCGTGATTCTACTCTCAATTTCGTTCAAACAGTCCTGAGCCTTTTCAAGCTGCCCTAACTCATTGTACATAATAGCTATTGAGGAGAAGCGATCCAAAGAGGACCTGCAGGTGGTTTCCCGCTGCGCCTGTTTAAATAATTTATCCAAAGATTCTTGATTTTGACAGGACCACAGCCAAATATTGAAGGAATGTCTACTTAATGGTATGTTTTCCTCTATCATTTTTGAGATCAATAACTCAACCTTCTCATTATCTTTAAGGTCCTCATAGAATTTCAGCATCGTAAAGAATGAAATTTCATCACTGGCATAACCCGCATTTCTCATTTTATTGTAAAAGGATTCAGCATTTATTTGCATTCTGGCATCCATATACCTAATCAAGAGAGCGCTATAAGTTCTTTCATCCTTCATGGCATCTGACAATTTCATGAAGTATTTTTCAGCACTTGAAACTCCATGCACTCTTGCAATCAAATACACCTCCCTAGCAGTGTCCTCCGGTGTCATTTCGTCCCTCTCTTTCCAGTTATTTATCCACTGGTTGATCTGCAGAGTGTACAAGAACAAGAATTTTCTATCAAAAAATCGATTTTGAGATTCACATGACCCAAACTGAAGCTGGTGCGAATCATACAGCCTAATTAAAACGAAGTCTCATACACGATGAGGATGACGGTGACGGTGACGGTGACGGTGACGAGAGATAGCCGAGTTGATCATGCCAAAACAATAACAAAGTTATCTAATCATGCTGCAACCCTTATATAGAGAAAGCATAGTTACAAAGTAATCAAAATCAAATGAGATTAATCATTTGTTCCAAGGTCAAATATTTTTTCTTCATCAATGGCAGGACCGGCCTGGCCCAAGGAGACAAAATATTATGAGACCTACATGTAATTTTTGTTTTTTGTTTGTTTTTTACAAGCACACTAAACTCTTTAGTATCTGTCATGGTCAATTCAAACATAATTCCTCGTGATAAGGAATATTATTTCGATCACACTCACTTACCATTTGATTTGTCCGAAATTAAATCTCGCATTCAAGAAATTGAACTAAGGCCTTCTAAAAACCCGTGAGACATGTGGTTGGTGATTACCATTTATTGCCTAAAAGTTCCTATATTTAATTTAAAAAGTAAAAAAATTCAAAAGAAGCAATCAAATCTGCAAAACAAAAATTGACCTTGAATAATTTGAAAAAACAATCATTATTTGGGATAACCTTTGTTTTATTTGTACTACTACATCTTCCAACAAATATTTGATGCAAGAAAATTCCATAATTTTTTTGTACAAAAAGTAGTCATTTTGGACTTTAAATATTTTTGAGGCCCCCTATATGTTGAGGCCAAGGGCGGCCTTGGGCCAGAACCGGGTCTGATAAATGGAAATATAGAAGCCCGAAAGTAGATTCGGCAAAATGTTATAGAGCGAATTATGGAGAATCCTAAGCTTCAATTTATATTGAACACTTTGATTTACCTCAAGAGCATCTTGGTAACGTTCTTCACTCATGAGGCTTGAGATCACATTTCGAAGCTTGGATAATACATCGTCGCCCTCTTTCCCAGGTACTTCATTCATGGAACTGTGATAGCCGTGAATCATGTGTAGAAGGTCAGGGCCTGTGTCTGTCTTGTAACCTAGCGTGCCAGCATCATACCCTCTTCCGGAGGCACGTAGGCCCTCAATCGTTTTATCTAAAATTGAACACTTTATGGAGGATGGATTCTTATGGGTTCGAGTAGTAATATTAACCGATTTAAATGAGAGTTTTGACGAGAGAGAGACGTGGTTGCGGTTGTGGAACTGGAAAGAAGGAGACGGTTTTGAGATGGGAAATTGAGATATTACGGCATTGAGAATCGTTGCCATGGAAGATCTTGAATGCTGAGGAAGACAAGAAAAAAGAGGGCAACAAAATGAAAATTTTAGTATCTTTCTATTCGATATCCTAGCCTTATGGTTTCGGGTTTTGGGCTCAAATTTAGGGATGTCGAGAAAAGAAAAGGGAAAAAAATCGCAAATAAATTAGAAATTTGAAATATTTCTTTAATTACCATAATTATTCTAAATTTTAAATTATACTACAGATTCCACTTAAAATCACCGAAAATACTGCCATGCAAACTTTCCATATAGGCATACACACACAATGAGTGTTTGATATGCATTTTTATGTAAAAATGCATTTTAGAATAGTAAATTGATGTGAAATGTGTGGTTGAAAAAAAAAATTTGATTTAATATTATTTTAATAAAGAATGTTGGTTAAAAAGAAGTGAGAGAAAAATATATTTTGAAAATGTAAAAGAAAATAAGTAAATGGCTGATATTAAGGGAAATTAACTACAGCTGGTTGCCATTGTAAAATATTTTTGAATTCAAAACATAGATGCTAAATAATGCTATTGATTACACCATTTCGTAACTTTTTCCATTACATTGATTTCCTTCTCACGGACTGTAGCATCTACGCAGTCTCACACAGTCCCAATGTTTTGAAAATCGGACCGGCCATTGACCAGAAAAGAGAAAGGATCGAATCGGGGTCGAACCGTTAATAATAAATAAATAAATAATATACCACAAAATTGACAAAATTAAGTTAAATTTTCAACTTAATTAATATATATAGACAAAAACACCAACTAATGATTAAATTTGGGTACAATTATTTTTTATTTGTCGTATGGTGAATTATTTAATATTTTTATAGTATTTCATTGTGTCAATGTAAAAAAATTACACGAAAGATTACGTAAATTGGATTGAAAATGAAAAAAAAAATTAAAGAGAAATAATTTACACCAAAATGATTTTTTCTTTTTTTCTTTTTTTTTTTAAATAAAACAGCAAAATTCTAATAGCAACATATTTACAAGAATGGACTAGAGTGGAATTTCTTTAGGAAATTTACTGTACACACTTTCCAAATCCCACATCGGAAGCGGTAGGATAATGTATGGGAATTTTAAGTTTTAAAAACAGCAATTGAAAATTACATAGTTGTCAGATTAGATTCAGGCACTCACCGGGAAAATGTAGCAGATCAGCGGGTCGGTAGTTCAATCGATAGGTCAATTCCTATAGTATATTATTAATTATTTTTATTGAATAATAGAATTTTACTATTTTCTTCCAATAACTAAATTAGTCTTATGCTATTTTGTTAACTAAAGATTAATTTGTATTCCAAATTTCACAAATTATAGATCATATACAGTGAAATATGCTTGGAAAAATAAAACAAAAATAAAAATATCATTGAAGGGTAGTTTGAGCCTCATTATTTATAGATTATAACGAGATAAATAATAATTTTAATTTTTTGAAAAATGAGTGATTGAAAATTTTTTTATTTACGTGTAATATTATATTATTGAGGATTATGTAATTAAAAGTAGGAGGGAGAAAATTTTAATTTAATGTAATGAAAAATAATGAGGTTCAAACGGGGCTAAATCTTATTCAATGAAGTCACTCTTTGGCCTTTATACGAATTTGAAGTATGAACTTTGAAGGTGCCATCAGATTTCTCTCTCCTTTTCTGCCATCTCCATTCACTTGCGTCCTTTTCTGCAATCTTTTTTCCTGCCATCTTCTTTTTGTCAGAGAAGATTATACCCCCCAAATAGACAAAACCAAAGAATCCTGCTACAGAGTTCTGCTATGATCATTTTCTTGTGGGCCCCCCGCACACACATCCAAGGGCTGAGATTTGGCCACCTCGACCCTTGGATCGGAGCCCGGGATTCTGCAGCTAGATTCAAAACCAAATGACTACATTATTTCACACATTGTTTGACACACTTCTCACAGTTGAAGTGTGGGTCTCAAGTGAATAAAATAATGTCAACCTTCCCATGTGAGTGTAATATGTCAACCTATGTGTCAAGCCTTGTGATCATGTAGCAAACCCTTCCCATCAAGACCACTAAACCAGCTCTCAAAAATTTATATGCAGTGAGCGTGAGTAAAAAAAAAAAAAAAAAAACTATTGATCGGAGAGTTAGTGAAAGGCAAAGAATTTATAGCCCAAATTCAAACCTTACGTTATAAGCTACTGAAAAATAATGGGCCTGTCTTTGCTGAGGAATTAGTTGTGGAAATCCTAAATTCATTCACTAAGACTCTTTCTGGTGTTAAGTTCATTGTCGATGACTATAATGGTCCGTTCCGTGAGAGTGAGAAGAAGCTGACAAGGAGTCTGGAGACAGTTTTTTTTCAACAAATAATAAGACTCGGTCGGGTCAAGGAAAAATGGGCTGACGGGTTAACCTAAAAATTGGCGGTTCAACGGGTTTGAAGCGGGTTGTTTGTCAAGCAATAAATCAGTGCAACTTGGACCAGACTCGAGTCTGATTGAATCGACCGGTCCGATCCGGTTTGGATTTTATAACTATGGAAAGAACTACTACGCCGTAAGGATTTTATAACCACGATCATATCAATAGCATAGTATGGTATTGGTAAAATATCTTCTTTCGAAACTGGAGCTACGGAATGCCCTGTATGTGAGGTAAGAAGATCGATTTGTGGTCTGATTTTTTTCCCTTTTCTTGATTAATTGATTTGAGGGTTTTGATTTTGCTCGAAGGAAGAGAGCAATGTTATATGGGTGTTTTGATTTTGCGGGAAGGAAGAGAGCAATGTGATATGGGTTTTTTTTAGGTAAGTGCAAGATTTGAATAAAGTTGCAGAAATCTCGGGCTCCGATCTAGGGGCCGAGGTGGCAAAATCTCAGCCCCTGATGGTTTGTGGGGTGGCCCCCACATGAAAAGGATCAAGGGCCGAGGTGATTGCCACCTCGACCCTAGAGCAGAACCCAGGATTTAATCCCGGAATCTGTAGTATGGTCCGATTTTTGGGTAAAAATGTTTTAACTATAATTGACGCTTGTTTACAAGGAAAATAATGACTTTCTAGTTAATCCACTTATTGTTGGGGTTACTTTTTAGTTTTATTTAGGAGGATGCTACAAGTACATCGGGGGTGCCATAAGGGTGTCCATAATGGACACCCGGCACCTCCCTATTGGAGGAGTGCTTATGCCCACTCTTATGGCATCTCGGATGTACAAGGAGCTTAATTCTTTATTTTATAATGTCTAAAATGCAGTATATCAAGGAAAAAATAAGATGACAATTATAATATGAAATATATATATATATATATTTTATGCTATGTGTAATTTTCCCAAAAAAAAGGGAACCCTCATATTCATAAATTTTAATTGTAATTATATATTATGTCCCTAATTTTTTCATCAATAATTTATTACCACTACAAAAATTATTAAGTGCATCACAAATTTCTTTTTTATTTAAACAACCTTAAGTAAAATTACATAATCAGATTAATATACTTTTAATTATTTACCCCACATTATAATCACACCACAGATATAAACCTAGCATATTCTTCTTCTTCTTAAATGTCTGTAGTCGTCAAACACAATTAAGACCTATTCCTCTACTAAACTTGGTTGTGAAAGCCATCAACCCGTTTGGAATATAAATTATGTTTACGTGCAATGAATAACATTGAATCACAGAACAGTCATACAGCCAAGTCCGTACAACAGAGGAAATAAATCAAATTTTCTGGAATATTTGCTGAAGAGACAATTTGCTCGTCGGGAAGACTCAAATGGACTAACAAATACTGTGATTTTTCCTCAAAAATCATAACTATCCAAATCTTATACAGACTCTTTTCCCACAATGGAGAATCACTTGTACAATTTGTAACAGGTCTCCGACGACTCATTGCTGCGATCCCGAGAAATTGAATTTGAAAACCCACTATCATGGGACGATGGGCAGATGCCAATAAATTACCAAGTCAAGTTCATGCGCAGTTATGGCGGAAAAAACCACCCTCGTCCTCATGACCACCTGTTATCTTATATTGGGGGTGAGACCAAAATCTTGGCAATTGATCTAACCATCAAATTTGGGTCTCTGCTTTCAAAGCTGATTGTACTCCTGTGTACACACAAAATCCCGATCAACTTCTCAAGTGAGATGAGGGTAAATGTGAATTTCTTTGTGTTTTAAACTATTAAAGATGATGAGCACACTTATTTTTAGTTTTTATTGGATTAAGAGAATAATGGTAAATTTATTGTGAAGTATTTATTAAAAATGTATTTTAATTGTTGTGTAATTATAATGTGGTGTAGTAATTAAATTTTGTGGGGTAATATAATTAGCCTTTTTTTTCATTAAATTCTTATTTTCAAATCAGCACAAGGATTTTGGTCCCAAAAAATTGATATGGTGAAGTAAAAAGACTTAATTGCCCTTCATATTTTGAAATAAAGCAAAAAATTGTACCAAAAAAAAAGGGTAATCGGCAAAAACTTCCATACCTTTCAAGCTTATTGTAGAAAATGTTTCTATCTTTCATTTTTTTTGACATTTTTTCCTTATTTCAACGTTTCGTTGCGCTTAACATCCTTTTCGTTGTTTTTGAACGTAAAATGACCATTATACCCTCTTATTTAAAACAAAAAAAAAAGTAAATAAATAAAGCACAAATTGCAATCACACTCCCAAAAGTTTTTAAAAATTATAAATCAATCCAAGTTGTTTTAATAGTAATTAGTAGCTGTTAATTAATCTAAATTAACTTCAAAAGGACAGTCTTCACCCGTAATTTTGGATTCTAAATTATGCTCTGCAAAGAATCATTCAGTATTCAGAGGAACCAACTAGAAGATCCAAAAAAAGCAAAACATTCCTCATATGCCTTAAGAAACTGGATATTAGAATCTTGACCGACTCCAATCACTGACGGATCAAGCACCTGGCGAGCACACGCGGCCCCGCGTGCTGGATCCGCCGACAACCATTTTTTTGGGTTGACAATAGATGAATTTTTTAGATAAAATTTCTGATAATCATTTTCCATTCAAACTTTGCTTTTGGTCAAGTTGGT